CATATACATATATATATATATATATATACATATATATATATATATAATTTTAAAAATAGTTCTTAAGGGTTTTTATAATGTTCTGACATAAAGCAATTTACATGTTTGCATCCATAAACTCAGCATAAATCTAGAAATGGTTTTACTCTCACAAATTTTAACACTTTGCAGTCAACCTATGAAAACATACATCTTCTAAAGTTAATTTCAACTACTTTTATTTATCTTAGATCATTGCAGTGTTGCCAGGGACAATATAGAAGTAGAATAATTAGTTTTTTTATGAGCTAAATGCTGTAGACCGTGCAGGATTCTGCTTCCTCTCTTCTCCTGCTGAGGCTCACAGTCGAGGTTTCTCCCTTTCATCTTTGCATAATAAGTCATCAAAAAAGCAGACAGGGTGACACATTCAAGGTGACGTTTTTCTGGCTAATTCTGCTGAATCTGCTTTTTTTTCCTTCTTTTTTTTTAAAAGTCCTTTACGTGAACTTTTGATAGTCTTTCTGTTACATGGCTCTTGTTAAATTTGGCCCCTAAAAGTAATGAGCCTTAAGTCACATTGTGTAACCTCTGGCCAGGAGCTTCGGTTGAGTAAGGAGACACAGCTTTGGTATGGACATTGTAATGCAGACAGTATATGCTCTGTATTCAAGAGAGAAACAATTACATTTCTGATATACGTTGTTGCCATAACATTCAAAACACTATTTTTATTTAATTTCTTAGTTGTTTGAATTGTATCACAGAATGTGTACTTTCAATAAATCTTAAATCAAAGACCATGGCTACCTGTGGAAATGTCATTTTAATTTTGATGCATTTTTCTGGACTGAACTCCTCTGAGTTTTATTCTTATGAAGATCAGTTACTAAATTTGTCTGAAAACAGTCAGTAACCTCTCAACCAGCTTGTATTGTCTTTTCATTGTTGTCACTTAAGATCTTTTTTCAGCTTCTAGCACAAAGTTTTAAATTTCTTAGAGCACCATGCCACTCTTCATTTCAATGCCACCTGTCACCATTTGCAGCCCTTTCCTCTCACTATTCTCATTAAATGTCACTTCATAAACTCATGAGGAACAGCAACATTAGTTGACATTTACCTTGTGATGCTGAGTGTTGCTTGTGTCGAGCCATTCAAGAACCTGAGGTCGGTGCACCTCCTTGGTGTTTCTCAGGCGCTGCTCTGTGGACTGAAGCATCTCCTGGGTGAAAACTGATGGTGCAATCTGCAACAATGCCAGGTTGTTATCAAGTCTGCACCGACAAACACTTTACAAAATTTTAAATCATACACAAGTGATGAAGCACTGATTCTTACTGACAAGGGAAGGGGAAAAAGATAATGAGCTCAGCAGCTGTAGGTTGTCATCTAAGAGCCTGATGACTAACAGCTACAACACATATGGTCAAAGAACATTATCGTTCTCAAGCTTCAGCGGACAATCAGCAGTGTTTTGTGGTTAAGATACATTCGAAACAATCCTCTGGCATCTCTTGTATGAAAAAACACTTCTGAACTTAATCTATTCGAAGGAAAAGTAAAAAAAAAAAAACGTTAGATTAAAATCTGGATTTATAATGGAGAAGAAAAGGTTACCGGAGTTGCAATATTTTATAGCTGTCAGTAAGATGCATGTTTATTATAAACTTGGATTTATTATTCAGGAACAACACATTTGCCTGAGTTAACACAACTCTCTGTTAGAAGGCAGGTTTAGTAAAATAATGTGTTTTTTTTCCTCCAGAAACAAAAGTCTAAAATGGACTTTTTCATCAAAGTTCAGGGAACTGGTTGCCAAAACAGTCATTAACTGTTTTTATGTGTTTTTATTCCATAGAAAATAGGCCTGATCCGATGCTTCTGTATCCATTTGTGTCTCCTTCTTGTCCTCTTAACCCCCAGCTAGTTCATAGATGGACATTCATTCTGAGCCTGGTGCTGGTTGTTCTACTAAAAGTTTTTTCCTGTTAAAAGATAGTTGTTGCTCTCCACTGTTACCCTCCCCACAGAGGATTGCATCATTGTAAGATTTAATGTAATCCGCAAGTTTCCTTCAAGTGTCAACATTTTATTCAATGATGGCTTAGTTGGTAGAGCTGTTGCCTCTCAGTGAGAAGGTTGCTGGGTCAAATCCCAGCCGGGGATCTTTCTGGGTGGAGTTTGCATGTTCTCTCTGTGAATGCATAGATTTTCTCCAGGTACTCCGGTTTCCTCCCACAGACCAAAAACATGAATGTTAGGCTGATTGGTAACTCTAAATTGTCCCTAGGTGTGAGAGAGAGTGAATGGTTGTTTGTCTTGTTTGTCTCTATGTGTTCCTGTGATGCACTTACAACCTGCCTGTCCATGGTGCCCACCGCCTCTCGCACAATGACTGCTGTGAACCTTCTCACAGAGAGGCAACAGCTCTACCAACTGTGCACCATGCCGCCCAAGCTTCGGTTCATTAAATGATTTTAAACTTATTATAAAATCACAGGAAAAGACAGCTGTGAAAACAGGCATCAGATTTTAGTCTTCTGCTCGGCTTTACGTGATATTTATATTCAGTTGCAGCATGCACTGTATGGAACGTGTTGATATGTAACTACATTCTTGTTTGTTCACTTAAAGCAGGTATCACCAGAGAACAAGATTACTTGTATAATAAAGGTGAAATAAATAAAATTAATTAAAATTGTGTTATGACTGGATTCAGTTGGACTACATGTAACTGGATGTGAATCTGTTTTTTTTATTTTGAACTGAACTGGATGAAATAATTTAATTTGAGTTGAACCAGTTTTTTTGTTGTTTGTTTGTTTGTTTACTTTGAAAGGTATGAGATGGGCTCGAGAAACCCGAGACAACTTTTTGACTATTTTTGAACGCATTAAAAATTCCAACGACAAGACTGCAAGTCAAACGATGAAACTGGGAACCTGGTGAAAAGTCTCAAAACATTCTGGAAACTCCATCACGGATGCCATTTGCCAAATAAATGCTCAGCCTCTGAACATACTAACTTTTAAAATAGCTTAAAAGTTGGCCGTTAAAATAACTTGTGAGTGGACGCAAAAACAAATCTGAAATTAATTAAAAACTGCCATTTTTGTTATATCTATAATGTCTTTGCTAAACTGAGTTATGTCAACAGAAAGTAGCAGAAAGTGACATTTAGTTCAGATTTAGATACTATTATTTCCTAACTTGTTAAAATATGCAAAGCGCCTGAGTTCTTACAGCATTTGGTCAATGAACTCAACAAACGTTTAGCTTGATTAAAAGATAAGCATCATCAAAGGAATGCTATAATCAATAAAATTAATCGTATGGACAGATCTTTAGTTTAATGTGGACCTCGTTCTGATCTGAGAGAACTCCTAAGTGAAGCAGGAAGGAGCACAGGCATAAAATTGCTGAGTTGAAGTCTCTGCAAGTAAACATTGCAGTCAGGTATTGATTTCTGTTCCCCATAAGAAGCCAAGGTAATTATTAGAGCAATCGGTCATTTGAAGAAGGGTTTTTAATAGCTTTGGATAACGTCCAAAATGTGGGTCATAAGAAACCAGCATCCTGTTAACTCGTGAGTTCAAATATCTGCACAATACCTCAGAAAGGACTACAACATTTGTCCAAGTGCTATACTATAATATTTTACAATAAAAATTTATAGCGACAACTGTTAAAAAAGAATGACGCTCTCACCTGCCGTGGTTTGAACTCCTTCATAGTAAATTGGTTGATGTGAAGCTGAGGGGTCTTGTTTTGAAACTGAGCCGCTCTCATTTTGGATGTTTTGTTGCAAAATCATCTAAAAGCAACACAGAATTATTTTTAAAAGCATATGTTAATGGTGATTAACCCTTTTACAGTTACTAACATGCATGCACATTGACAGTATTTTGCAATGCATTGTGTTCTAGCTGGAAAGTGATGTAGCTTTGTTCATGCCTGCTGCCGGTTCACTGAGATACTTTGTCTAAACAGTGTTAAGATCTATGATGTTTCAGCTGTGCTCTGAAGTCATTTGACTACTGGTATCATTGGCCATTGAAGACATTTGACTATCACAATGTAAAATACCAATAAAACAATTTTTTACATTTGCTTGTTTATAAAAGTCAATAAAAAGGCAGGTGTAAAGGACCAAAAACTGTTTAACACTGACCTTGAATACCAGAAGTAACTAGGAACGTATTTGGCCATGTGATGCCTGATTTTACACATGTGCATTAACTGTGAAAATGTCTATTTGATGAGAATGTTAGGATAAATAATTATAGTATACTAAAACGGAGGGAAGCCAGGTCAGCCATATTAATTAAAAAGTTGTTTTTTCCAGGACCAATGATGCTCTCGAACTGTGCTGTTGTGAAGAATGTGTATATGTATTGCATATGTATATCTCCAAGTGCTTGTACTTGTGCAAGATCTTTAATTAAAACTTTAGCTTTAACTGTTGGAGTCAACTCGGATTGTCTGTTAGCAAAATATCTTTGCATTACTGGATGAATTATAAGGAAACTTTCAGAAAGTAAATCACTGGATGTAAATCTACAACTCAATAACTTTTGCTGCCATTCCAAATAAAGATGGCCACCACAGCTAATCAACATGTGGCTGTACTTCAGTCATTTTTACAGTTATTGAGCTATAATTTTGTGTGGTAGTAACTGAGAATCATTCACAACGCATGTTCTGAGCATGGCACGTATTTTTATTTTGTTTAATTTTTTTTTTTTACGTTTGACCAAAATGGCGTAATTTCAATTATCTTCACGGCGGGCGACATGCATTTCATCAAGCAGCTCTAGATCTTTCATTTAATTGTATATTTGTGTATTAACGTTAATTATTAAAGGAGAATCACGTCAATAATTAGAAAATACAGTCTAAAACAAACTTTAGCCACTTGCTAAAGTCTAATGTATGCTAATCTTTTTTTTTTTTAACGGTTAAAAAATGCTAATGAGCTAATTAACGAATTAGCTCATCAACTTCGATAAAAATCTAGATAAAAAAAATACTTCAGTGGTGTGTATTCTGATGACTCGGTTAGTCAGTAAATTGATTACATGATTTTAATTAAGTTGTATTTTTTGTATCGGTAAATGAAATATCAACAAAAAAATCAAGTAGCCTATAGAAATATATATGACTAGCTAGTTCTCTCAGCTGAAACTTCCGCAAAATGAGCCGTTAACGTTGACATAAAAATTAAAAATATAAAGCAATAATTCAACTATTCTTTTGGTTACAAAATCAATTGGGATAAAAGTCTTACCAGTGAGTTCACCGACTTTTGTCTTCCAAGAAACTTCCGCTAAAATGAACTTCGTTGTAGTTTGTTGCCGTGGCAACGCACTCATCGACCTCTCAGTAAGCTGCTTTCTGATTGGCTAATCCGACACTGTTTAAAATGGAACGTGGACGGGAACGTTTGCTGTGAGAAATATTATTATTGTGTTGTTGTTGTTTTTTTTTAAATCAAATTAATGAAAGAAAATGGTTTCAGGCTAATAAAAGCTCATGCTACAACCCTGAAAATAGTGGTTTTCATTTAAGTTTGAAAAAAAAAAAAAAAACGCTCAGAGCATAATCCACATTCTGTAGGGCTAAATCACAGACACATTATTCTGTTCTTATTGCTGTTGGGTAAACAATAAAAAAGAACTACTTAATACTCACATAAAAACTACAAGTTTATAAAGGTTGGTCAGATGGAATTTTACTTGATGTGTTTTTGCTGAATCTGTTGAAAGGAAATAATTGTCAGAAATTCTTTCTTCACTAACTTTTTGTGTCCTGTTTCAAAGTATCCCTCCTCTTACTACAGTGAATGTAGTACTTTGCTATAAGTACGACTATATTTATGGCATCAGAGAAAGCTGAGCTTAAGTTATCCACATAAAGTAAAATGGCATCAGCATGAAAAGAAGGAATGTTAAGTTTGAGATGAATCCAGTTTCTGATGTCTGACCAAAGACTTTGTATTGGCATTCAAATAAAAAATGCTCGAGGGATTCATCTTCTGATTTACAAAAGGCACACAAATCAACATCAAATTTAAATATTCTTTGCAGAAACATGGCTACAGGATATATCTTATTTATTATTTTTAAATGATTTTCCTTCACTTTAGGAGATTTAGGTCATTTGACAAATTAAGAATGAGCAGAAGTCATTATGGTTCTATGATTTTTATTGTGAAGTTTCTTGAAGGAATCTTTGTTATAATCAGTTAATCCTTTGTCGTAAACATTCAGTGATAATCTTATTACATTTGAAGTCAGTAAGAATCGATCAACAGAGGATGCCATCTCATCTGTGGTCCACACTGTGCTCAACCACCTGGAGCAAAAAAACTCTTACGTCCGTCTGCTCTTTGTGGACTTCACATCCGCCTTCAACACCATGATCCCCCAAACCCTGATGGACAAACTATTCACACTAGGACTAAGCCCCTCCATTTGCAATTGGGTACTAGACTTCTTAACAAACAGACCACAGTTAGTGAGGATCCACAACTTCTCCTCCTCCACCATAACCCTCAGCACTGGCTCTCCTCAGGGATGTGTGTTGAGCCCCTTCCTGTTTACTCTGCTCACATATGATTGTGCAGCTACCCATCCAGGCTGTCACATTGTAAAGTTTGCAGATGATACAGCGGTGGTGGGATGCATCACAAACAATGATGAGTACAGGCAAGAGGTGGAACACCTGGAGAGCTGGTGCAAAGAGAATAACCTTCACATCAATGTGAAGAAGACAAAGGAGATGATTGTGGACTTCAGAAGGAACAAAAACACCTACACCCCCCTGAACATAAGAGGATCTGCAGTGGAAGTGGTCTCCAGCTACAAGTACTTGGGTGTACACATGAATGACAACCTCAGCTGGAGCAACAACACCACCAGCCTGATCAAGAAAGCTTATCAGAGACTCTACTTCCTCAGACAGCTGAGAAGAGCTGGTCTGGGAAGCTCAGTCCTCACCTCCTTCTACAGATGTGCAGTGGAGAGCATCCTGTGCTCCAGCATCAACGTGTGGCATGGAGGCTGCACAGCTGCGGAAAGAAAAGCTTTGCAGAAAGTGGTGAAGGCTGCACAGAAGTCTGTCAGAGTCAGTCTCACCACCATCACAGACATCTAGATGCAGGAAGACGGCCACCTGCATCATGAAGGACCCCACTCACCCAGCACACACACTTTTTGCCCCACTCCCCTCAGGAAGGAGGTTGAGGAGCATTAAGTGTAGAACCATTAGACTGAGGAACAGCTTCTACCCTGAGGCTGTTTGACTCACGAATCTCTAACCAGAATAATCACTGTGAAAAAATCACATCATGTTGCTGCTGATCTGTTTCATGTTGCTGCTGATCTGTTTCAATGTTGATGGGTTCATGCGTGCTCATCTGCTCACACAGACTCATGTTCATGTTTGTGCTGATGTTTGACGTACTGTTTTTATGTTATGATTGCTTAGTGTATATTTAGTTGATGTTTTTCTTAGTTCATATCTTAGATGTTATTACTGTTTTTATTTTACATTTTATTGTTGGATGTAACTGGGACCCTGTGTACATAATTTCGCTCCACCACATGTACCACATGAGGTGTGAATGACAATAAAGAAACTCTGACTCTGACTCTGTCAACTAAGTTACAGGCATTTAGTTTTAATGTGGGCATCAAATCGTCACCTTTAAATATATAATATTTTTAATTAATTGAATCAGCTGTTGGTCAGGCTACTTCTTGTTGTGCCATTAACTCTAAAATAGTTACTGAATCAAGTGTTTACTTCCATCCATCCGCGGGGGTAGCAGCCTAAGTAGGGAGGCCCAGACTTCCCTCTCCCCAGCCACTTGGGCCAGCTCCTCCAGGGGAATCCCAAGGCGTTCCAAGTGTTTACTTATGTAGGTAAAACTAGATGTTAAACAACCATTAAAATACACCAGAATGCAGGAAATGACATCTAATTTATTCAAAATTTTCTGGGGGAGGACCCCCAGACACCCCCATCAGTGTGTCCCCCCACACACACATTATAAATGCTTCTGACACCAGTGGCCAACACGTTACTAAACAAGTACACATATGGTGTCGTATGGTGTTCAAAGTGCGTTCAGCTTAATTAAGTCTTGATGATTTGTGTCAATGAGCATTTGGAGTTTTAGACATAAAAATACACTTGATAGTTCGAATTTTAAGTATATTTACTGTATATTATGGTAATTTATTCTGTATTTTGCCAGATTATGGTGATAGGGTTGGATGAGAATGTTTGTATTTTTTACTCAACTTCTCAGTGTTAAAAAATTAAATATGGGTTAAATCATGATTATACATGTGTGTAATAGCTCATATTTAAGTTAAAGGCTTAGTTACTTTTTATTAAAAAAAGCATATTTAAAAAAATATATCTGAACATAACAAGCAAATAAAAGTACTTTGCTGAATGTAAATGACCTCCAAAAGTATCACAAACATTTATTTGAATTACTTGATAAAGCTGTTAATTAAAGTAAACCTGATGGATTAGTATTTTATGTGGAACAGCTTTACTAATTTAACCTAAATAAATTGAATGTTGCATCATCATGTCACATATGTTTAGTGGTTTATTATTTAGCTGTGATTTTGGTGTTTCCAGGAAGTGCATAGGTATCCAGCACAGTGTCAATGTTGTGTTCTGAGCCAGTTAAGGCTTGTTTTGGGAAGTGTGCAAGTTTTGAAGCATTCCACTTGTGTCCATCATTTGTGCTTTCTCTCTCCATCACAAACACTCTTTTCTTCTAAACCATGACTCAGCTCTTTAAATTGTTGTAGGACAAAAAAGGGGGTGAGAAGCTGTTAGAACAGCCTACTATCACCTGCTTCGAATAGGCACATATTATGGGTTGTCAACTGTCCCTTGAAATAAGGAACCATCCTGTACATAAAACTAAAAAAGATGTGTTACTTATTAGGTTGATCCGTAACACTTTGTTTCTCATCTTTAAGAGCCAGAGCAAATCTGTTTTTAGATGATAAATGAAACAGTTGAATCAACGATTTCTATCTAATCAGAGCTGAATTAAGTTGCTTGTTGTTAAACTGGACAACAACTAGCTAAAATGACTTTTTTTTTTTCTTTCAGCTGCTCCATTTCTCTGGGATCACCACAGTAAGCGAACTTGCATAAGGATTTGGCAAATGTTTTTTTTTATCCAGTAAGCCCTTCCTGAGTCTGACAGCCACTGCTGCTACAGCTGAGCTACCGTAGCTGTTGTGATGGGGTTAAGGAGCAGATGGGGGAAGAAGTTGTAAATGTGCAGCCAAAGTGGGGCCAAATGAGGGTGCTTCATCTTTTCCAGGATTCAAACTAGTGACTCTTGAGCTTCCCCAGTCAAAGGCAAGCTACAAGTCAAAAGTAGCAAAATTGCTAGTTAAAAGAAGCAAAATATGAGCTAAATGCTAATAGTGACAAAATAGTAGTTACAAACTAAATATCAAAAGGCTGCCTAAAAACTTGAAATAAGTAAACAGACCGATTCTTATTTTGGCACAGTGGAGTAAATGTTCAGTTTTATTTTCCTTGAGTTTACTCTCATGGAAACAGCAACATTATCCAGATAAGACACTCACCCCCCCCCCCCCCCCCCCCCCCCAGGTGTTTATTTTGTGTTTATTATTTATTTATTGTTTATTACAGTATGTCATTGCTTGTTGGCAAAAGAGGATGAAAACATTCCTTTCATTCCTGCTTCCCTCTAGTGTACTTTGCCCCTCGTGTTCCCAGCCCTTCCAGTGAACGGGTCAGTGAGTTGACCATCCTGGTGGAAAATTGGATTTAATATTCTTCAAAAGGAGCGGGCGGTCCACTCAGGCTCCGCCTCTTCAGTAAACGTGCAGTGACGTCAGCGCGTAGCCTGACCTCTCCTCACGCTCCGTCCGCCGCAGCAGAGCTTACATCTCAGTCCGTGGAACCACCTTGAACTCCTGTGAAAAAAAATCAGCGAACACCGCTTCATCAGCAGATCACCGTCGGACATGGACGCCTCCTCCTCCTCCTCCTCCGGTCAGAGCAGGTAGGAGACGAAAAAGGCTGCGTGTTGTTGGATGAGCCTCATTTTAAATCCTGATTAATATTATAAGTATATAGGCGTTGCATTAAAATGATTTTAACGTCTGTCGGTGGTCTATGTGGGGTAAATTGTGCACTGTTTATAAATACGAGGGGATATGACGCATCATTGTAAGATTACAGCAGCCAATGAGAGCCTCGCTCTCCCTCTGACGTCAGCTGGTCGTGGTACAGGTGGTTCGTGAACGCAGTAATTGTTGCCAGTAAATCCTGTTTGTCCTCCCGTACACACCTTGTTCTGGTTTGTTGTAGTTTTAACGCCTCGGGGTTCTAAAAGAGCCCGGTCTGGTCGGACTGGTGGCGCTGACAGCCAGGAGGCTGAGCACTGAAGTCCACGCAGCACCATGGACAGCTCCAGCACGAGCTCACTTCCTGTTTGCTATTTCAGTATGGGTCAAACCAAACGATGTTTAACTTTATCTACAAAGGTTTGTGCTTTCCAGAGGATAGGTTAGCTCATTAACAAATATATGTTATCACTTGTGCGAATCAGTCATATTTTACAGGCGTAACAGTCCTTAAAGGAATGCATATCGCCCGCCGTCTTTCTATAACAACAAAGTTAAGAAAACAAGAGCTGGAAGAGCTGGAGTCGTTTTGATCAAACTTGTGTGAGGTTTCACACTCAGAATATGTGTTGTTAACCTGATAAAATGGGTGTTTTTTTTAAGTCCCTGCTCAAAAATATGTTTCTCAGCAATTACAAAAACTGTGTTTTATTCATTTTTGTTTCAAAATAAAACTAACATTTGTTTGTATTTTTTCAGAAGTGTAAGAAGCAGCTGCTGTTGTTTCATAGAAAATGAGGATGGGACATAGAGAAAAAGGAAAGCCTTGAAGTTTTTCTGCAATGTAGAGTATATAATCCCTAACTCTAAAACTTGAGCCATTAATCTACATCTGGACATCACATGTGCAAAGATTCATGCTGCTGAAGTAAACAAAAATAAAGTTACAGACATTTTAGTAAAGAAATAGGCAGGTGTTTTGCCATTTGTCACAGTTTGGCTCCATCTGTGGAAGTGGATAATTTTGGTGGAGTTCTATAGCAACAATTAACCAAAGCCCCTTTTTGAGTTTTCTAAAGTGTGGACATCTTGACTTGGGTTAACTTCAAAAGTTATTCAGTTGTAGATGTGCAGCCACTTTCTGTGAGTTCCATTAAAGTAAGGAAGAGCTTCTTCACATTAGCAAACACAAAAAAAACTTTGATATGCAGTTCTTTATACAATAATATATATTTAACTTATAGGGTATTCATTTATTTATCTTGCAAAGCCCAGGCTGCATGTTCTACATTTATCCTGCTGACGTGTCTATGGTTTACGAGTTTATAAATCACTGATTTTTTTTTTAAAAGATGTTCACCTAAATGAGTTAAAGTCCTGCTGTTTATTTGCAGCAATGAATGACAGCTGGCTCCAGCCCAACAGAGGTTAAGCAGTCACCTGCGCGTCTGAGGTTTTGAACAACACTGCAACTCAGCAATGGACAGATTCGTTCTTATCTGATCTTATCTTATTTATAGTGAAATCTTAAAACTAGATAACGGTTCTTCATACGGACAAATGGGCCTCATTTGTGTCAGCTGTAATATTTTCTTTCTGTTAATCCAAAAAAAAAAGCATAAACCCTTTAAATATTTGCAAGAAGCTTTTACTTTCTTACATTTATGACTTGACGAAAAAAATCAACGTTTCATAATAAAGTATTTCCAAATTTGTTTGATGTCAAAGTTAAATAAGTGTGTGAGAGTGAAACATGGAAAGACAGAGTGCCCGGGGCTGCTCAGATGCAGCAGTCGTCCCAGATGATGGGTTTGAAACGGGCTCGGAGTCATCAGGCTCACTTCCTGCTGCAGATTGGTCCAGTAAACAGCGGAGCCTGAAGTGTCACTCCGTCTTCATAACAAAGCTTCGAGCTCAGAGGGAACATGAACAAGGTTATGATAGCTTTACGAGCAGATTTATGGCCACAGTTAGTTTCTTTCAGAAACTGTTCACTCCCTTCAGCATTTTCAATCAAATCGTCATCTGACTGTGAAGAGTAATTTGGCTGCTACAGATATAAACAGGCCCCAGTGTGTTTGTAACTTAGCTTAATACTTTTTTTTTCAGTTTAAGAAACAGGAAACAAAGGTATTAATGTGTGTTTTTATTTTCTTGGGAACTTAAACCATCATCAAAATAATTTTTACAAGAAAACATTAAATATTTTTGTCAATAGTGTGAATGCCAGCGCTGAAGGTCTTTGTTGGAATTTGTTAAACGTTAAAGCAATAAGGACAACAACTCAAATTAGCAAAACAATGGCTAAAAGTTTAAATAAGCAAAAGATGAGCTAATGGCTGATATTAGCTACAAAGCACCTAAAAGCTAAGACCTGCTTTCCTGCAGTGCTGGTCCTGGTTTGTGTCCATCTGCACAGTCTGGATTTAGTCCTATCAGTTTTCTCAGCAGCGTTTGAGCTGTTTTCTGGATTATTTTTCATTCAGCACAGTAAATATTTCTTTTATTAAAGAGTGAAATTTACTCACACACCCTAAATCTTGTACAGCACTGTGATTTTAACTTTGCATTTTGAAAATATAGGCATATTCTCTGTATGAACATTGATTTATTTTGTTTTACTCAACACTTACAGATTAGTTTCCCTCATGTTTTCAGTTACAGTTACGAGGACTACAGGGAGACAGCAGACTGGTTATTGGCACACTCAAAGAAGCGTCCTAAAGTGGCCATCATCTGTGGTTCAGGTCTGGGCGGTCTGGCTGACCTGCTGGAAGACAGAACTGTGTTCAAATATAAAGACATTCCACGTTTCCCCACCAGCACAGGTAAGTTGTTTCTTTTTAGAGGAGCCAAAAAAATCTCTTTAAGTTCTTTGAGCGTAGTGCATCAGCATGCTTGCAGCTTCATTGTGTATTTGTGTGTGTGTAGTTCAGGGTCATGCAGGCCAGTTGGTGTTTGGGAAGCTGCAGGGCTGCGAGTGTGTCTGCATGCAGGGACGATTCCACTTCTACGAGGGCTACAACATACACACGGTAAAATATCATCACTTGTGTTTCCTTGTGTCTTTTTATCTGTGACTGTGTACAAGTTACTGTACTATAAATTTATATACCATTACAGTAGCAGCTCCTGTGCATACATTTTAGCAAAACGTACACTGAATTGTATCCCCCCACATTTTGATCAGATTCATTTTCAGACATCGCACGGAAAATTAGAGAAAAAGCTGCAAAATTCCAAAGAAAAACATTGAAAGTCTTTTAAAAGTCTGGAGCTTTTTAGGAAAGTACAAGAACATCTTTCTGCTTGGAAGAAAATTATTTAAAAAAATACTATACTTTATGTATTTATAGGATATAGTCTTTATTTACCACAATTTTATTAATACCTTACATATCTAGTGTTTTTTTATTTATTCTGCTTGTTATTTGAGTTCACCAGTAAGGAAATGAGGTGTTTATGAAAATTGTTGTTGTCAATATTTGACCACTGGCTTGTATATAAATGTTTCCTCTGGGTTGGAGATGAGACTCGGCCTCCAGTGGAGGAGCTCAACTATTTGAGCATCATGCTTCTGAGTGACGATAAGATGGAGCTAAAGATGGATCAACAGATCAGGGTCCTGTCCTCTGTAATGAGGGTCTTTCTCTGGCTGGTCGTAGAGAAGAGAGTTGAGTCAAAAGGCAAAGCTCTGGATTTACTGGTCTGTCTACATTACAACCCTCACCTGTGGACATGAGGTTTGGGTCATGATAGAAAAAAACGAGATCCTGGATACAAGTGGCCAAAATGGGCTTTTATCTTAGGGTGGTTGGGCTCAACCCTAGCGATAAGGTGAGGAGCACCATCATCTGGGGGGAGCTCGGAGAAGAGCTGCTGCACTTCTGCAATGAAAGGAGTCATCTGAGGAGGTTCAGGAATCTGATTAGAATACCTTCTGGACTCCTCCTGTTGGAAGTTTTCTGGCCACATCCCACTGGGAGGAAATGCTGAGGCAGACCCAGAACTTGCTGGAGGGATTATATATGCTCAATGGCCTGGGAACACTTTGGGATCCTCCAGGACAAGTTGGAGAGTGGGGAGAGGGATGCCTGAGGTTCACTCCTGGACCTTTTGGCTCCATGACCCGACTACAGATTAAGGATGGATGGATGTCTTGTAAACTGTTGAAGGTTGTTCAGACCTGTTGTTAAAAAAGGCTCTTTGTGATCAGATTGCATTCAGACAGCAATAAATACAGGTCTGAATTGCTTCCATGCAAACTGAAAACGTTTTTCCTCAGACCACCCTCATTGTTAGTCTGGACCCCTTTTATCCACTTATGTCTGCTAGTCTGAACTGAGTATGTCCTGAGTCAAGCAGTAGAACTACCTGCTGGACTGACATGACCCCACACAAACATCAAAGGGGAAGTCTCAGAGGGAACAATGTCTGCTCAATGTGGCTTAGTGTAAATTCTCATTGGTTTAATGTTTGCTCTGACTGTTTTGTGACCCGCCGTGGTCACTGTAAACTTTAATGTGCTGTCGATCAAAGCTCAACACTCTGTGTAGTGTTGTGTCACATTATTTTTACCAAATTAAACTTGAGGGAACAAAAAAAGGTTAAATCATGTCATCTGGACCAGTTTCTTTAAGTGAGAAATGCTTCATCCAGAAGACTCCATCAGTCTGCGGCCTGCCAACCAGAGCTGTCCCATAGGTAGCCTTCATTGCTGTGTTTCAAGCCAAACTCCTGATGGAATTTCAAAAGTAGGTTTTTAACACATGCAAACAGGGCCCACCTGGCCAAAATAATCAATCATCATGTATAACAATTTAATGTTTGACACCACAGGCTAGGTGGGTTGGCATCTGTCTTTGCTCTGAAACAGAAATGGGTAACTGGGCTTTTGAAGACACAACCTGTCAAAAAATATGCTTCAAATGGCTCTGAACTGTGTTAAAATAATGAGTTTGAATACATAGAAACTTTTACAGGAACATGTAAAGGTAATTCACTGATCACTTGCAACAAATAACCTAAAACAGATTACAAATTTCAAATCTGAGCAGCCCCAAAGGATCAGGAAGGTCTGTACGCTATTGGTTTGTAATAGTACATGTTGAATATAAAATGATTTCCATCTGGATCACACACTGACTGTCAACACCATCCACAGTGTCTGGTATAAGTCTTACTGGACTTATTCTTCACTGGGGTGTTTGTTATTCTCTGCAGCTCAGTCTCTCTCCTGTCTTTAAGGACCTTGCTAATGCAAATGATATACTATCCGAGGTAACTGAACTATAAACAGAAATTTAATCTCTGACTTTGTCAATCACATTGCGGATAACAATCAGAGACTCTGCAGGTGGGACCTAATCTTTAAACCCCATCTATGTCTAACTTTGTGCTGTCACACTAGGAGTACAGATGGGTGCAAAGGTAAAAAGTACTTTAAAGCTCTCAAAATGCTTTACTGAACTTTAAACATTTTGGCTGAAGCTTGATTTTTATGTCCATTTAATAAGGACACTAAAAACTTTGTCATAATGTAAATTAATATATTGCATTTCTTTCATGGCAGTTGCGCAGCTGCATTTTTTGGCTAACAATTTACTTTGTGTGTTGAATAATCAGCTGCAATGGCAGTGAGAACCCTAACCAGTGTGTCACAGTGAATAAATTAAACTGGCCTTTGGCCTGTTGTGACTCATTTTAGTTTTATGACCTGCTGTGTTGTGCCATCTCCACATAAAATGGTCTATATACCCCAACAGGACCATAAAATCCAGGTTTATGCTTACAGCAATACCAGAACAGATGTCTTATGTATAGAAGTGTCAGCTTTACATTGTGTACCTCCAGATGAAGAATCTCCGTGAGATGAACTATAGTCAAAAAGTTTTAACATCAACCTGACTGAGGTAAAGTTTTACCAGGCAATGTGCTTCTCTGGAAACTTGGGATGTACTTTGTCCCATTGAAGTAGAAATACAGTGGGGTGACCAACCACAGTGCTATCTGTGCTAACGAGACGAGAATTTGTGCCTTGTTAGTGCTACATAGCATCCTTAGTTCAATTCAATTTAGTTTATTTATATAGCACCAAGTCACAACAGAAGTCATCTTAGGGCACTGAGCAGAAACATTCATAAGTTAACAGAAACATTAATATATAAAAAATAGTTACCGCCAGCTTGACAGCAGACCACGTATTTTAATTTAAAACAAGTAAAAATATGCACTAAACTCAGCATTGAAACCAAATGTGTTGCTATTATTATAGATATTGCAACCTGCACTTCAAAGAATGCGGTAGTGCATTTTATTTTATTTTATTTGCAACTACTATAAAGGAAGATCATTTGTCAACCAAAAAAAAGTGCTCATGCGCAGTGGGCAGGATGGCAAAAGCAACGAACAAGACGCTAAAGAAAATAATCAGCTCATTGTTAACCGGTTTAGATTTATCAAGGTATGCTAAGAAGCTTATCCCAGAGGCAAGACAGCAGTTTGGGATGAAACTACTTTATAATTTGGGCCAAAACCCCACGCTGAGAAGTGGAAGGAAGGATGATCAAACACCACAAGTCGAGAAAAATTTAATAAAGCAAATTTTAATTAAAATGTAATCATAATTTTACGAGTTTCTCTCTTACACTAATGTAAAATTGTAAATAGAACAATGATAGGCATAGCACCTTGCAAGAAGGCAACCATCAATTTGGCCTAACACAATCAGTGGTCATTCCAGTGCGTCTCTATTTCAGTTCTACGTCTTGTGTTGTCTCCATCAAAACCAGTAATGTTGGTAATCTGTTTAAAGTTTATTGAACAAAGCACAATCTTTGTCCAACAGTATAATTTTTTTCCGTGTGTTTTTCACGTATAAAACCAAGCTGTAAATTTGGAAATGTCAGATCTGGCTGCATCGATAATAGCAGGTTTGAACTGGACGCTATTTCTGATGTTGGACAGTGAAGAATATTTAAGATCTCCAGTGGAAACTGGAGTGCAAGTGGCCTTTTTAGCAGCGCCAGAAAAGTTTCTGTAGAACCTGCCAACAAACCAAAGGTACAAAACACTAAGGAAACCTCACCCTCACCCCATTAAAGTCCCAGCCTGTGTGTGTCTCGTATAGTGACCTGGGTCTGTTAACAGATTAAAGTGAAAATAAAATGTTAGAATTAGATTAAAGTCAGGTGTTTAGGTCAGTTTGCTCGTTTATGTCAGATCTTGATGTGCTTAAAACATTTCCATGCAATGGAGTTGTTTTTTCATGTGCATAACTTGAAGGCTTGTTATCTTCTGAGGTGTATTTTCAACCAGTCTGCTGGTGACACCACTGATGGTGCATATGAACAGCTGGTTCTGGCTGTCAGCAGCAAACTGGTTGATCCACTATGAGAAGATGCTGTTTATGAGACTGAGTTGGCTGCAGCTCCTCACACTGAAAGAGTAATTTGGATAAAAGACAAAGCGTTTCAACAAAGAAGAATTTGTCCAAAGGACCTGACTCAACCTGGTTAGATTCATCAACCTGGATTATTGAGCATGCAGCAGGACTTTTCTTTCAGAAGTTTTTTGTTTTATGTGATTTTTGTGTTCTTGTCATTTAACAAAAACAAAGCTCATACTGAATCAACCCAAACTGATCTAAGCTGTATTAATTTGCATAAATATTTTCAAAAATATTAATGTCTTCAGAATGCTGGTTGGTAGCAGGTTTACCTCCCCACTAACTACTTCCTTTTTACAATACAGTGACTCTCAGTTAGTACAAGTGCAACTTGAGGTGCTACATTTTCCTCTTGACAAAAGGCCGAGAGTCAGTTTGATGCACGGACCACACTTATAATACGCAAAGCTTAAATCACAGAGGCCAATGTTCTGCAGTGACAGCGCTGACCTTATCAAGACCTCAAGAGTCTTGAAAACATTTCTGCTCTAACTACCAACACGTTTGTTTATTGTAAATTCAATCTGTAGGGAAATGTGAAATAGAAAAGGCCATTTCCAAACGTGACACCGCTGAGAAGGAGCAGCTGTCATTTACAGGCTGTGTAAAGGTTAGCACAGAGCTACAGCTGTTACAGAACTGTGCATAAACCTGCATTAATATCACAAATATCTGTGTATGATAAACTAAGCTGTCAAGCCCATTGCATTTTCACACCTTTGTAAAACTTATGTTAATATTCAGGTGACGTACCCTGTGAGAGTCTTCTTCCTGCTGGGCGTGGAAACGGTGATTGTGACAAATGCTGCAGGAGGTCTCAATGGTAGCTACAGCGTGGGAGACATCATGCTCATTAAGGACCACATCAACATGCCAGGCTTTGCCGGTCAGAACCCTCTCTGTGGGCACAATGATGACAGGTAAAGCACAACTGAACAAGAAATATGTTAATGAATTAATGCTGGGAGCTGAGTGAGTGATGATTAAATTTACAGTAGCTAAAAAACTTGAAACTGAGAGGTTAAAGCTAAAATAGCTAATCACTAAAAGATGAAAGGAGCAAAACATTAGCTAGTAGTCTAAAAAAAAGCAAAATGCTAGCTAAAAGGCAAAAGATGCAAAATGCTAGCTAAATATGCACATAACTAATTAATGGGGGCCGAGATGGTGTAGAGGCAGGGCAGCCGGCTTGGGACCCAAAAGTCCCAGGTTCGATCCCCAGTCACTGCACATCACGTGGTGTCTTTGGGCAGCACACCTCATCCCCAAAATGCCCCCCGGGCGCTTTCAATAGCTGCCCACTGCACCACCTGGTGGTGGATGGGTTAAATGCAGAGACTAATTTCGCCATTGTATGGAAACATACAGTGCTGACATTGTGATGACATTATTATTATTATTATAACAAAGTGCACATCACTAGTTAAAGACAAAAAAATAAGCAAAAAACTAAGTGGAAAAGTTGTAGCAACAATCTAAAAGTAGCAAAGGACTAGCTAGAAGTATCAAAAACAAACTAGAAGCTTAAATCAGCTAAATGTGTAATAAAAGCTAAAAGAAGCAAAAGGCTAGTTAAAAGAATAGCTAGAAGATTTAAGTGGCAATTTATTATTTTTTTTTTCATTTACCCTTTATTTATACAGGTAGTCTCATTGAACCACGAGAACTCATTTTTAAGAGAGACCTGTTTGGGGAGCAGATGGGGGTTAAGGGCCTTGTTCATGAGCCCAGGGTGGGGGCAGGTGTGGGTGCTTCACCTACCCCACCCACATTTTTGATGTTGTCGGTACCGGGGCTTGAACCGGCGATCTTCCCATCACAGGCCCACCTTCTCTAACCTCTGTGCCATCACTCCCCAAAATGGCAAATGGTTTGCTAAAAGCTAAATGTAGTAAAAGTCAAGCTAAATCTATTAAAAGGCTTGTTGGAAGCTAAAAGGACCAGAGACTAGCAAGAAGCATAAAACAGTAAAAGATTTGCTTAAAGATAGCAAAAGGCTAGCAAAACGTAGCAGAGCTGTAGCTAAAACTATAAGTAGCATAAGGAGACAAAAACAGAGCAGTTTGCTGCAGCAGATTTCTAAAAGAGAAATATGTTTTTGAAGGAATTGAAAATATCTAGATGTTTTTCTATAGCTAAAATAAACAAAAGGTTAAATTTGAAAATTAAAATAGTTACAAAAATCAAATGCCAGAGCTGTCTCCTGAAAGAGATGAATGTTTTTATATATGAACAGCTAAAAATATCAGAAGTAGTAAAATAAAAAAATAGGAAAACAATATTGTGAATAGTGACTGTATTCTCACAATGAAACATTTAAAGTCTTCATCTTGTTCACCACTGCACACACCACTCATGCATGTGTTTGCTGCAGGTTCGGAGTGCGTTTCCCCTGCATGTCGGACGCTTATGACCGAGAACTGAGGGCCCTGGCCAAGCAGACAGCAGAGGAGCAGGGCTGCGGCAGCTTCCTGCAGGAAGGCGTTTACTGCATGCTGGCTGGGCCGACATATGAGACCATTGCAGAGTGCAGAGCCCTGCAGATGCTCGGCGCTGACGCTGTGGGTGAGTAACAGCTCCCCCCTGCTCCCATAAAAACCTATCTGTATCAAGGGAGAAAACTCCCAGCAGTGCAACCACTTTAGGGCTACGATAAAACCAATGACAGGCTTAAAAAAAAGTTAGTTCCTAGTTTGGATAAGGAGAGTCGATGTGCATGGAAGATATGCAAACTCCAATAAAATGTGCACAGCTTTATGACTCCATGGGATGTGAACAACCAGTATCCAAAGCAGATTTCCCAGTATGTAAACAAAAAGTCACTCCAAGACATTCAGGAAGCCTCAACAGTTTGTTGTAAATATTCACCAGATTCACCTTGTTGTGCATATTAATGCTGGAAATGTGCATTTACGTTTCTTCAGTAAAGTTAAGAGCTGAAGCCCACCAGATTAATCTGAAACAGGGATTTAAGTCTTTTTTTTAATCTCTCGGTTTATTTAAATTCACAATATGTTGGTCTCAATCAGTAAACATCTGGCTACAAGCTGTTCAAAGTGCCACAGCTTGCATATTTTCATATGTTTGAAAGTTAAGCAAGCAGTATGCCGCTGTCCCCCCGTCACTGAACGATTTGAATAGTAAATGTTTGTAGTTTTGGAGAGGCGTGTTTTTCTGGACTGGAATTAAACAGGGAATGCAAGTAAACCTTAATGTTTTTGGTGCAAGATATACAAGTGGGTATGTTGTTTTTTGGTCTTGTCTGAAGTGGCACAGTGACAAATCCTGGTGCAATGGTGGAGCCAGGAGGTGGCCAGTGGTGGCTCTGCCCCCCCCCCCCCCCCCCCCACCCCAACAGATTAATCTTAAACCACCTCAGTAATTAGAGGAAACTATACTTATAAACAATATACAAACTAGAAAGCATAATGATCAGGGTGGTTGATTAAAACCAATTTAATCAAATTGTATAATAGTTGTTAGTGCTGTTTGTGTTGTCATTATGCACTTGTTTACATCTTACATTTGCTTTAGACATATCTATGCTTCAACCAGTGGCAGTTAGAGACACAACTCGTCTTGATTTTGTGGGTCGACAACTGAAAAGTTTGTGGCCACAACACCCAACTCGCAACAAAATAAGCATATAATAGCTCATAAAGTATGTCTAATTTATTTATCGCTTGATGAAATTGCCAACTCTTTTCTTGTCTTTAAATTGGACTGGACTCGCTTCATGTGCACTTTTCCCCTTTGCACAAACACACAGCCTTATTTGTGAAGCTTTTGACTTTTATGCATCCGGTCATGCATTATCGCCTAATTTAGGTGTGCTTTTTGGAAGCCAAATTTATTCATACAGAGAAAGGTTCCCTTTATATTTGATGCAAATCATGAAACAAATATGAAAAATGGTTATAAGATATTTAAATAAATAATATTTAATTCTTATATGTGCTGAACATTTTTGTGTGCAATAGAATCGGTGTTTTAACGAACAAATTAAAGATAACTGTGACTCAGAAGATCTAATTACAGTTGCTGTTAAGTTAGGAAACGTAGGCTCTTTGTTTACAGATACTATGAACGGTTTACTTGTTTCTGTCCAGGTATGAGCACAGTTCCTGAGGTGGTGGTGGCTCGTCACTGTGGCCTGCGGGTCCTGGGACTGTCCCTCATCACAAACAAGGCTGTGATGGATTATGAGAGCAGAGAGAGGGCGAATCACCAAGAGGTGCTGAAGACCACCGAGCACCGGGCCCGGGACCTCCAGAGGCTCGTCAGTCACCTTGTTACCAAGCTCTGAAAATGTCTGAGAAAGTTCTGCTTGAACAAAAACAAAAAGATTTTCTAAATCTTTGTGACATCCCTCATAGGGCGATCACAGCTTTGAACAAAAAGTTTAAAAGTCTGGACGTTAAAGTAGGTTTTACATTTTAGTGGGTGCAGTTTCAAGTTTAAAACAATTTAAAGGGGCATAAATAAAAACAGTCATGGATGTAAAAAAAACAACAACATCCATTTATAAAGCCACAGGTCTAGCATAATCAAAAAGAACAAAATGTTTTTATGCATTTAAAATTTACACTTATTTAGTTGATTAACCTCTGAGTAAGTTAACTTTAAGACACATTACTCACTTCTTTTAGGCACTTTTAAGATTTTGAATCTAAACACAACAAAATGGTGCTTCCCAAAATTAGAAAAGTAACTCGTGTGCACCAATCTAATAAAAGAACAAATAAATTAAAAGAACAAAATTTTTTTATTGCCATTGCAAGTTGGTTTAGAACTCAAGTTGGATATTTTATGGCACTACCTTGATCTCCTTCTCAGCTGTTTTAAGTAAAAAGTATGTTAAGTGTAGAATTGGAGACATTCTAAAGTTGCTGCAACTGTCTACCAGGAGGCCCCAACCAAAAACTTCTTGTTTATATCTCATAGAAGCTAAAATGTTCCATCCCTGTGAGCATTTCCAGGTTAAAAAGACATCTAAATGATGTCTTAACTGTCCACAGACGTCTAGGTTGAAACTGGTCTATACCTGGTTTAAAAATGGAAGTTTAGTAGACGTTTACATTTCAGCTAGACAATTAGATGTCATATCGATATACTGTTTTAAATTTATGCATGTTTAAATTCAATTCAATTCAGTTTATTTATATAGCGCCAAGTCACAACAGAAGTCATCTCAGGTCACTGAACAGAAACATTCATACATAAAAAGTAAGTTAATATCATTATTTATCAGAGGAGCAGACTGCTTTGAGTTCAACTCCATCACAGAACTCTCATCTTGAGCAAGCATGAAGGCGACAGTGGAAAGGAAAAACTCCCTCATGAGGAAGAAACAGCAGAACCAGACTCAGGACAACAGCCGTCTGCTTCGACTGGCTGGGTTTGGTAGGAACAGATACACAATGGCAGGTCGAGAATCACATGTTAAGATAGAAATATTATCAAATGAAAACTATTCAATTTTAACAATTCATTTAAGGAAATTGGGTCAGTTTGTCCTCCAGTAGTCTTAAGCCTATAACAGCATAACAAGCCAATCCTAACTATAGGATTCATCAAAAGGAAAGTCTTAAGCCCAGTCTTAAAACTGGACAATGTGTCAGCCTCAGGGACAGAAACTAGAAGTTGGTTCCACAAGAGAGGAGCCTGATAACTGAAAGATCTACATCTCATTCTGCTTTTGAAAACTCTAGGAACCACAAGGAAACCTGCAGTCTGAGAGTGAAGTGCTCTGATGTGAAAATATGGAACAATAAGAGCTCAAATATAAGATGGAGCTAGGTTGTTGAGAGCCTTGTAGATTAGAAGATTTTGAATTCAATTCTGGATTTGACAGGGAGCCAATGGAGGGAAGCTAAAACTGAAGAAATATGGACTCTCCTGCCAACTCCCATTAAAACTCTGACAGCAGCATTTTGGATTAACTGAAGACTTTTTAAAGACGTATTTGGACACTCAGATAACAAACCATTGCAACAGTCCAGTCTAGACGTGACAAATGCATGAACCAGTTTTTCTGCATCATTTTTAGATAAGATGTTTTTAATTTTAGAGATATTACGCTGGTGGAAGAAGGCAGTTCTAGTAACATTTTTAATGTGGGGGATAAAAGACATGTCCTGATCAAAAATAACACCAAGATTTTTTATATTAGAGCTGGAGGCCAAATTAATGCCATCTAAGGAGGGTGAAAAGCTGAAAAATGTATTCCTAAGATGCTCAGGTCCAAAAACTAAAACCTCAGTCTTGTCTGAGTTTAAAAGCAGAAAATTAAGGATCATCCTAAATTACCTCTATTATACAGCTAGGCTAAAATTAGTCTATATCTCATCCGAAAGTGAAAGTTTAGTAGACGTTTAAATTTCAGTTAGTTTTTTAACATCTATTAGATGTCCAAACCTTTAAATTGAAACAAATAAAAGACATCTAATGGACATCAACTAAACTTTCACTTTTAGACCAACTAGCTAGATGTACAATAGAAGTAATTTTGACATCTATAAATTTAAAGTAACATGTTTTATAACATCTAATTGTCCTTTTGAAATGTAGCTATCTATTACACCTCAATGGCAGCACGATAGGGTTGTGGTTAGCACAGTTGCCACACAGGAAGAAGGTCCTGGGTTCAATCCCTGTTTGGACCTGGAGTCTTTTTGTGTGGAGTTTCCACGTTCTCCTCATGTTTGTGTAGATTTTTCCAGGTACAGTACTTTCATTTCCTCCCACAGTTCAAAATCATGCATGTTAGGCTGCCTTCATGCCCAGGCCTCCCTTCCAAAGGAGATCTGTAATCTCAGTGGGATTAGCCCAGTTAAATAAAGGTTAATAAATAAATAATTATAGTCTAGGCCCATTTGAGCCTAGATGTTTAATTAAAGTCATTCAGATGTCTATGTTTAAATAAACATGTCTAAATGACATCTGGTTGTCTAGTTAAAAGTTAGACACCAACAAAACTTTCATGTTTAGACCAAACACAAAGCAGTACAAACCTTGATGTCAAAGTGTGCAGAAACTCCAGTTTGGCTCCAGTTTACTGAGACCAAGTTCAGATAAACAGCTAAAGAGCAGCTAAAACATGATTACAGCTAAATAAATTATTACTTTGACAGTTGCTGCACATCACATGCACTCAATCAGATGTATTTTTCATGTCAGTTGTTGACTTTTTGGTGCGTTTTTGTGAATTTAAACTAAAAGTCTGTGATGCCGGTGCTGCATGAAGCTTTGAGCTTCAATTTTTTGGTCATGTTGAGCTTCTGGTGCTGATGATCGCTGATTTATTTGATTGTGGTGTGATGAAAAGTGACATCTCAGCTAAACCTTTTGAACATACAGCTCTTTTACTATTTTTTTTATATGTATATGTGCTATATTTGTCTTATTTGCATTTAGGGGGAGCAAAGTGAACACCACCACATGTGAGGATATCATATGTGTTCTTAGATAAGTCCAGGAGACGTTCTGTGATTTTAGGTTTGTTTCTGCTACTTCAGATATTTTAAAATCCCTGCATTACTACTAACACTTTCATATGATACTAGCTGCTATTTAGAGAATAAAAAGTGATAACTTGCACATTAGGACTTGACTTAGCTTTAAATAAATGTTCACTTTATTAAATTAAAAAGAGCTTATATTGTGAGTAGACGAATTGCACATGTTGATAACTATCTGATGTACTTATAATAAAAAGGGTGAAATAAAATGAGCACTTTGAATTTGGTTTGGAAAAACCAATAATTAAATTTGAACTGATCAGTTTCTTGTGGGTTAGCAGATTTATTGGAGTTTAATTATTGACCTTTAAAGCATAATTAATCTAAAATAAATCCCTGAAGTCAAAGCCTGATCGGGTGCAGGAGTAGTGATGTTTTATTTGCACAGAAAGAGACCGCAACACTGTGACAACAGGAAAGAGTTATAAAATCCATATCTGCCCAGCGCTGTTTTGGATTTGCTTGCCAGATTTTCTTCACCATCTAATTCATTAGACCTGGAAAGGACAGAAAACCCCCGGATCAGCAGTCAATCTCCTAGACCATTTGAATGAGGCAGAGCAGCAAAGCACTACTGGAAGTCTTAAAGGGGAAGTCACTCAACAAAAAAAAAGGTGGTGCTGCTTCATCTTGGAGGGGGGGTTCTATTTTTATCACATGGATTTAATCTCCAAAACGACTGTATTTTGTATACAACAAATACGGGTGCTATTTTTCTGTAAATAAAATACTAAACTTATGAGTTTTGACTTGTTTTAACCTGGTTCTCCTCTTGGCCCTGTTTTGTACTTTTGGTCTCGGTTTGAAACACAATAAAGCAATTTATTTTCCTGTCAAATTAAAATCCTTGCAGATGACATCAGGCCACTGGTATCTCCTGTCATGGATCAGTGCACATGTGTGTGTTTGTGTGTCTGAGAGAGCGTGCAGCACAAATCCAGTCGATACAACACGTGTGTTCAAGGAGAAAAGGAGTTTCTTTGCTTTTCAGCGATAATGAGGATCAGTGAACAGGGAGATAAAGGCAAACAGCCTCGTGCCAACAAACACACACACACACATGCCTCATCAACACATCCACACACTCAGCCTTTCACTTCAAACACACTTCAGACTGATGAAGTCGCTCCAAGATTGAGATGAAGTGGAAATGGCTGTTTCCGTGGCTCGCACCATTCTCTTACATAATTCATCCCCATGCAGCGTGTAGAGGAGCAGCCTCACTGCGGAGCTGAAATATTAATACAAATGAAGCAGGCAGCCCAACAACACAAACACAACGCCTGCATTTATCTCTGTTGTGTTTACACACATTCACAAAGAGGCCACTAAACTTCACAGCAAAAAAGTGAGGCAAACATATGCATGAAAGATGCAAATAACAGATTATCTGCTTTGGATGGCCGGAAGTGGAAACAGGACGCTCACTTAAAGAGATAGTTTGATTTATTTGAAAAAGAATGGTGTATTTATGGGCAATCAGTATCTTACCTGCAGCAGACAGTGTGATCTCAGCTTAAATAATCAAATAATTTCTTAAGGGGAAGTCAAGCTAACAGATGCTCAAAACAGGGCCCATCTAAGACAACTCAAAACTTTTCTGTTTGACTAAACATGATAAAAACAATCATACCTTATTATTTTTGCACAAGACAATTGTTTACATAACAGTAGTCACTCGTTTATTGCGGGGGGATCCATACCTTGAAGCCCTGCGATAAGTGAAAAACTGCAAAGTAGGAATAGTAGTACTAGTAGTAAGTAGTAGTTTATTTTAGTATATATATATATATATATATATA